TAGCAAATAACCAGCTAGATGCAGAAAACAACCAGCTAGATGCAGAAAACAACCAGGTAGATGTAGCAAACAACCAGCTAGATGCAGAAAACAACCAGGTAGATGTAGCAAACAACCAGGTAGATGCAGAAAACAATCAGTTAGATGCAGAAAACAACCAGCTAGATGCAGAAAACAACCAGGTAGATGTAGCAAACAACCAGGTAGATGCAGAAAACAATCAGGTAGATGCAGAAAACAACCAGCTAGATGCAGAAAACAACCAGCTAGATGCAGAAAACAACCATGTAGATGTAGCAAACAACCAGGTAGATGTAGCAAACAACCAGGTAGATGCAGAAAACAATCAGGTAGATGCAGAAAACAACCACCTAGATGCAGAAAACAACCAGGTAGATGTAGCAAACAACCAGGTAGATGTAGCAAACAACTAGGTAGATGCAGAAAACAACCAGGTAGATGCAGCAAACAACCAGGTAGATGCAGAAAACAATCAGGTAGATGCAGAAAACAACCAGGTAGATGTAGCAAACAACCAGGTAGATGCAGAAAACAATCAGGTAGATGCAGAAAACAACCAGCTAGATGCAGAAAACAACCAGGTAGATGCAGCAAACAATCAGGTAGATGTAGCAAATAACCAGATAGATGCAGCAAACAACCAGGTAGAGGCAGCAAACAACCAGGTAGATGTAGCAAACAACCAGCTAGATGCAGAAAACAACCAGGTAGATGCAGAAAACAACCAGGTAGATGCAGCGAAACAATCAGGTAGATGCAGAAAACAATCAGGTAGATGCAGCAAACAACCAGCTAGATGCAGAAAACAACCAGTAGATGCAGAAAACAACCAGGTAGATGCAGAAAACAACCAGGTAGATGTAGCAAACAACCGGGTAGATGCAGCAAACAACCAGGTAGATGCAGAAAACAACCAGGTAGATGCAGAAAACAATCAGGTAGATGTAGCAAACATCCAGGTAGATGCAGAAAATAACCAGGTAGATGTAGCAAACAACCAGGTAGATGTAGCAAACAACCAGCTAGATGCAGAAAACATCCAGGTAGATGCAGAAAACATCCAGGTAGATGCAGAAAACATCCAGGTAGATGCAGCAAACAACCAGCTAGATGCAGCAAACAATCAGGTAGATGTAGCAAATAACCAGGTAGATGTAGCAAATAACCAGGTAGGTGTAGCAAATAACCAGGTAGATGTAGCAAATAACCAGGTAGATGTAGCAAATAACCAGGTAGATGTAGCAAATAACCAGTTAGATGCAGAAAACAACCAGGTAGATGTAGCAAATAACCAGGTAGATGTAGCAAATAACCAGGTAGATGTAGCAAATAACCAGGTAGATGTAGCAAATAACCAGTTACATGCAGAAAACAACCAGGTAGATGTAGCAAATAACCAGGTAGATGTAGCAAATAACCTGCAAACAAATTGTAATGTGCTTTAATGGTTATCAGCATATTGTTGGACATCATTCGCTAGAATTTGAAATAAAATATTTGCATAAATTAACAATTCTCAAACTAGCCATCAGAATGTGTTGAACTGTACAAGTATGTATATTCCAAATATGCTGGCTTATTTCAAATAATGTTAGAGTAATATTGAATGAATTCAAGTGTTTAGGGCTCCCTAGTTTGTTGAATAATTGTGTTGAAGAGTAAAATATTCAATTTGTTTTGAAAGGTTAAATAAAATATTATTATTACCAAGTGTACCACTTTGGCTTATTTCCTTGTAATGATGAGATACTCCAAATAAGATTAATAGTATGCCGCTTTAATTTAATTTTCAGCAATCTCACAGGTATTAAAGTGTACATCTCTCTAGATATTGTCATAATGTGATTGTGTGGTTTATGTAAATACATGTAGATTGTCAAGTGCAATGTCATTGACTACGTCACTGTTATGACCTACAACGTACATGTGACTTCAGGCCTACCAATTAAATCATAAATGAGTGTGAACATATGTGAACTTACACCATATGCATTGCACTGATTGGTTGATGCTATATCAGTCTGTATTTGTCTACTTCAAACCAGTCAGACTATGAAGACACTTAATTTTCCACCTAATGGCATCCCAACGAATTTCAGAATGAAGTTATTATATCTTTAATAAAAGCTGGTTCGGTTGACTCAAATAAATATACTTTGGTGCATGGAAATACTGTAAAATCATTTAATTTTCATGTTTGATGATTAAATTGTGTTTATGATGACAAAATTTTGCAAAGATTTCTGTGATGCTGTGTCTTTAGAATGGCAATAAAATTGATACAAAATTTCAAGATTTTTACTGATTCATGAAATTCAGGAAAAATTCTTGTCTGAAAGCAATTTAACAGAAAAAATTTGGTTAATTTGGTATGGGCTGAAAATATCATGATTTTACATAATTATTTTGGATACTGTTACATGTATTACTCTAACAAATAAAGAAATTGTGCTGATGCATACATTAATATTACAAGTCTGTTTTGACTAATCACATTTATAGTTATTGTTATTCTTTATTAATACTGGTTTTAATATTGTCACAATTGTTTTGTAAAATTGCTGGAAACTACTAAATTTAATGAAATGTTGAATTGATACTTTCAGTTGCACATTTACATGTATATGTTTTGATGCTCCATAGTGTCTAGATAGTGAATATGTATGTAACAGAATTGTGTGCATTTTGAAATGACAAGGTTTCAGGAAGTTTTCACACAAATTATTTTCACAGAAGAATTTTTAAAAACCATTCCAAATTACATATTCACACTTATCAAAAATCAATGTTAGATACAAGTTACAACCATTATGTGTTCATTTGATTTCAAGGTAAGAAAAATCCATTATTGACGATTCAAATAAGTACTGTGAAGAAATTAAAAGGGGTACCACAATGTGAGTGCAACAGTCACAGTGATTTTGCACAACTTTTTGTTTTGTTTTAAATATCTATTTTTGTGTTTTCATCAAAATAAATTGTTCCTTTTACATTCAGGTAAGCAAATGCATAAATTTAACAAAAATTGCAAAAAAGAGGTATTGTTTATATATATTACATCTACAGTCTCTGAGAAAAGTGAAGAAATCTGGTGAGTGCTTGCTGAGTAGTACTTATTTGATTGATCATTTTGATGTCAGAATTAAAATGAAGATGGACACAAATTTGCATATTGATAGATGAATAGTACAGCATTGAGTACCCTATTTAAAAGATCATAAAATCTTTTGTGGCCAATGTTTTTATATCTTGTAAAGTTTTGACGACTAGTAAGCATCTAAAGATGGTCTAAAGGTATTTCATATTCGACTGTGTGATTTATTATTCATTTAAAATATGCACAAATATTACACCACTGTTTTAAGTATTTTCCATTTATGATAGAACTCTGAATTTTTTTAGAATAATTAGATTTAGCTATGGATTAAATAAAATATAAAAAGTACATTTTGATTTGCATGTACCATGAATTCTTTTTTTATCACTTTACATTAATTATAACTCAGAGAAAATATCTCATAGTATTAAGACAAAAATGATCAAATTTATCAGTGGTTTCCATAGATGAGTGATGTGATTAATTTTGTAACATCAAAAGTATTAGCATACACCTACAGATCACAATTAAACTTTACCATTTGATATATGCAACTACATTTTATCTGATTTTATTCACAGGACACTTGATTTAGTTTTGACTAAAATGTGTATATTATTAAGTCTACTATTTTTACCATTCTTAAACTTGCATAAATTGTTTTCATATTTTTTTTCTTCAAAAATTATCCACAAAATGAATGAAAAAATGTTGTCTGTTTGTCTGTGAAATGAGTGAAATGGCAGTAGGGGTATCCTGAAACTAGAAGATGTGGAATAATGAGTTGATAATTAAGAACCAGACCATGATATGATTATATATATATATGTATGTCAATTACCTGTACTTGCAAACAAAATATATGCTTTCCTATCAATTATTGTACTTGATGCAGCACCGCAGGCAGAACTTAATTCTTTTCCACCCAAAGTGACTGACCCAGGCTGTTCTTTCAGTAATGAATAGCACATTTTTGAATTGCCTGCGTGTATGTGTTCCCCATTGGGAATTCTGTCAAGTCGTTGTACCATTGATTGTCAGTGACTTGCAGTCTAAACATTTGTATTCTCTGGATGAGGAAACCTTGATCAAAAACGTTTGTAGACGGAAATTTGATCAGTATACACTCAGAGTAAGCACAACATTGTTCTTTTAAAGTGAGTCCAATTTGAAGCGTATTTTTCCCACCATGGCTCAATAATAAAGTAGAGCTGGCAGTGTTTACCCAATACTAAATATATGAAGAATGACTTTATTGTGAAAAGGTAGATTTTATATCAAAAAAGAAATTGTGTTTTTATTGAGACGTGATAGCTTTCTGATTGGACTTTAGAATGGATTTTCCACATGAATAGTTACCATATGACGTTGAGGCGGGAATCGATTCCTGCCTTGCTACGATTGATGAGAGAGGCGTCACACAGTAGCAACTTGAGATTCAGTGGTAAACTGAGAGCAGTTAAGATTTGTCAAATACAAGTGTTGAAAAAGAATATTTATAGCAATCTCGTTATCTTAAAAAGGATTCTCTTGTGATCATGAATCCCTTTCTTGGAACAAAAGACAAACATCAAGCAATATTATGAGCTAGACTCACATCTAGTTTAAATAGTTGTTGGAGGTGATATACATAAGTGAGTTCCCATCTGTAGCTGCCCATTACATTTGCATCAGGCTACCTATGTTAGTCTTTATTCTTTCAAATGAGAAAAGAATCGGGTGTGTAATTTGAGACATCAGTTGTTTTCCTCGGTATAGTACATGAGCAGCGATATAGAACTCAGAGATAGCATTACTTTTTTCTTGGAGGGTAAGATGAAACACATTTTTATTGCTTCTTTTCATCTTTGTGTGAAGCATGACAATGGATTAATATATACAAGGTGTTTTATGGCAGTGATCGATGCTCCTCATCATAACAGTTGTTGCCTAAGAGAACGTTTCAAAGATTTGAACGAGAAAATATTACGCTTAGGAGTTTAGATTTCTTTTTTCTTTATTTTTAATCATTATTTTTATTCTAGAACCGTATTGTATTTTCATCTTACTCATCATTTTCTTCTTTTTTTTTTCTTATGCTCAGCACGACCACCTCCTAAACGTAACCGCTTGGACTCGTTTGCTCCAAGTTCAATCGCTGAAGAGGTTGGTGAAGTAAAGTATGTTGGTCAAGGCTGCTGTAAACTCCAACTACCAAATTTGGCAAAGAAATTTAAACATCCAGATGGAATTATCGACCCTGGAGGTAAGTCCATTTTATTGCTCGTTTTCTAGCTGTGTTTGTCTGTTATCGATCTGGCATTACTAATTATCATTGGTTGTACTGTCATGATGTAACAGTCTATCATTTAGTGAAGATTTCAAGTGCATTTACTGTCACTCATTGAAGGACATTGTTTTTTGTTTTATTACACTTATTCATGCCGACCTGTTTTAACTCTACTGTCGTGTTCTTTGCCAATCTATCTTCTGATGTACAGTGCTAACATGTAGATTAACCATAATACCTTTCTTACCTTTAAGTGCTCATGAACAAAAAAATTATGTAATGTTTCTCTGAAAATCCTGAAAGTATTTTATTAAATCCATATTTTCCATTATCAATATAGCACTAATTGATTCTTGGATTTATTTAAATGTGAGAGGATTTGTTTTTCGAAAAATGTTCACTTACATAATTTAATTTTTTTGTAGGTTATATAACCAAGTAATGTCTGTGTATTTTACTCCTGAATGCACTGATTGTCTGCAAGTTCTAACAGACACTAGATAATGTAGATTGTAAACTAACATATGCAATAAACTATGTGTTAGAACTAATATAGGAAGTATGAGTAGGCAACAATGTGTTACTGTTGATTTTGGACCAATCAGAAATTATTTTTGATATTATCTAATCAAAATCAAAAGAATTAAGTTATCAAAAAAGAAACATTTATAGTTTACTAAACATTTTTCAGGTGATGAAGCAGTGAAATAAAACCTACAATATTTTTATATATTTCTAATACTGTGTAGCTTTCTGCAAAGACAGATAAAAATAACTTATTAATCTATGAATAAAGAAATAAAGATTCCATTGAAATATCATGTTTCAAAATCAAGTATGAAATTTGTGTCGCATCCATGGAGAGGTTTAATTGTGGTAAAATTAAAAAACAACAGTAAAATGTTCTGTTTTCAAGTATTCTATGAAAACATTATGATCAGTGGGATCCCAGTGCGTGTGTCTCACTTTACATACTCTACTTTTTATCCATAACCTTTTCACTAGTACTATACTGCATATATTTAAGGTAGTTCAGAATTGAAGAATGTGCTATTTTCTTCTTACTTTCATAGAATTCCAGCTATTTTGGTACTGAAATTGAAAAAAAACAAACATTTAAGTCATCTGACAATTTTTTTGAGAAATATGATTCCTAAATTTTTTTAATGACATAAATTTATCTATTATTATTGTTAGTAATCCTATTAATATATTAGTACAAAATTAAAAAAAAATATTTATTATTTCTTTTATTCCCAGTGAAAATTGTTATTTCCATATCAAGATTATTTTATACCACAACCAAAAGATAAAATGTTTAACATTTATCAAATAATTCTTTTTGAATAGATGTGTTGATTTGGATTGACAAACCATTCTCCAAAACAGACAGTTTGTGGTATAGTTCACTGGCATGCATATTAAAAAAAAAGGTGTGAGCACAGACATGATGACATAGATAGATAGATAGATAGATAACAGCTTTATTACAACCGTGTAGAAAATTTTACATTTCTAATTTGACAAGCCTTAG